CAACTAACTTAGTTTTCTATTGAGCCATGCGAATGCCACCAAAGTAGACCAAACAAGCGAAGTACGCATGTGAATGCACTACTCTAATCTTTGATAACTTGGGCCAAGTCTGCACTTGGTGGGCGATAGTGCCAGGTGTCCTAGTGGAGAGCACGGAACTGGGGATGATAAAATTGCAACACAAAGACGGAACAGAGACAACTTACTCACTTAAAACTGACTTACAACAAGCAACTGTATGATCCTACAAACACCTCAGATGTTGAAGAAATCAGGGATCAACAAAGGAAATGCAATGAATAACTTGGCATTCATCGTCCGAATCGTCCATGTTTGTGTTGAAAAACAGAGTGTAGTAAAGCCATGTCATGCAGTTGGCGGGAAAGAAGAGGAGTGTACACTCATTTTGGTAAGTTGAAGGAATACTTAATGCTCCCTACCTCCCAAAATATCTTTTCATATTTCGAGCTGATACCAGTTTATCTTTGTTTATTTTATTTTTGAAGATTTAATTTTACATATTTTTCTCATAATTATCATAATTATTCAATGTTCCGGAATGCTGGGAATGTTCACATGATCATCCCAGAAGTCTGCAAGTGCTTAGCACGTACTTAAAATTCTCTCGAGTCACGCGCATACAGCATGTGCAACGTTTCAATTTTAAAAAGTTTTTAAATCTCGCTTAACATCAAGCAGTTTTTCAACTGATGAAGGCTTAAGAGTTAGCCGAAATATACAAGTTAGTGACAAAAAATGACACTTTTATCGACTATCTTCTCCTTAATAGTGGTGTTGACAGGCTCTTGAACCATTAATCTCTGTTTTTGATCACCTCAGGCCCAAATACTCTTAAGTAAATCTGCGAAATCCTGCAAAATTCACTAAAACACACAAAATACCGCGAAATTCACCGGAAATTGTACCAAATACATGTCGGTGCAACATATTTAAAACTTATCTTGGCTGTTGGGGCTGTTTGGTTGTTGTAACCTTGCAAATTTATCGTGAAACTTTGTCTCTGCAACAAGTAAACAAGATCCAAAAACTATCAAGTGTTCTTAGACTAATGTTGCAAAAAAACTGGGCACTCACTGTGGCCACGATGTAAAAAGCTTTACCATTGGTGCATTTCTTGAGCGCATTTCTGTTAAAAAGAACCTTGTTGTAAAACAAAGGCAACACTTATAAGTAGTATGTGTTTCTGTTGCTGTTATTACATAGGCTAACACTCATCATTTTCAAAAATAAAAATAGCAAAATTGTTGTCCTTTTTAGTTACGAATGTTCATCAAATCAGTGCAAAACCAGTCGCTTTCCAGCGAAATTTTCCAAGAAAACTCCCATGAAATCAGCTGTATTTTTAACAATCATTTTTCAGTGAAATTTGCTCCGAAAATTCCCGTGAATTTCCTGCAAAATTGGCTGTTTTTACCGCGAATTTGTCTCTGGAAATCCCATGAAATTTGACTTTTTTTCCGCGACCTATCAGAAGCCCTGTCTTATCATCAAGCTACAGGTATTAAAAGTGAAACAAATAAAACAAATTTGTCGTCTTTGTATATTTCTTTCGCAAATTTTTCTGTTGAAAACAAATTTAAGCAAGAAAATTAATGTAAGTAAAGTAACATGAGGTTTTCACGACTTCATGTCATCATTGTCGAATGAATAAATTAAAAATAATGGCAAGGCATATTTATAGTACTTAGGATGTGAGAAAATAAATTAGCAAACATGACATGAAAACATTCCGGTAAAAAGTTTCACGCAAATGGAATTGGTGTGCGTGTTCAGTTTCGGTCTTTTGTTCTTAATCAGCAGCATTTCAAAGATCAAACATTCAAGTTTGCCACGGCATTTCTATATGACTTTAAAGTTCTTAATTAAGTTGTCAGGTGTTAAGCCATGTCCAACCCTGAAATGTTTTCCGATGACGGAATGTTTGTTCTTCTATGCATTGATGCAGGTGGTGGCAAGTGTACCCAATATAATTGGCATCACACTAATCACGTGTGAATTGGTATACTACACTTTGCTGGTACATTATCAGGGGAGGCTTTTCTTCTGTGACTCTCAGACGATCAGCGATCTTTTTGCTTGTAAACACTGGCTGTAGTTGTCGATTAATTTTCGTTCTGAGGTTGCCAAGTTGTCTGCAAACCATGTCACCCAATTCAGATGGTGTTTGAACAGGGTCTGTAGGATGCTGGAGGCGATTGATAGCTTAGCCAATGCAAAGACCAAAGAATACAAAGAGCCTAAGGGAGAACTCAGGTCACCCAAAGGATTTCTAGCTAAACAAAGAAAGGATCTTTAGGGTTAACTTTTTGTAATATTTCATTGAGAATATATATTGTGAGTAGGTTTTAGTCTAATTGGTTCTTACTTTAAAGGCTTGTTAACACAGGTGATTTTTGAAATTGCAAATTGCTCTAACTTGTAATCGGGTGTTTAGGAAATTATACGTATTTTACTCTTGAGTCTTGGAGTTTTTATGTAATTAGTATAAGTAATCATACGGTTTTTCTCGTTCAATTTGGAATTAATTTGCACAAGTTAGTTTTTCAAAAAGCTGAAATTGCATGAGCCGCTTCGGCAAGTGCAATTTCAGCTTTTTGAAAAACGCATAAGTGCAAATTAATTCCAAATTGAATGAGAAAAACCGTATGATAACTTGTTAATAATATAAACATGAAAAAATTCGTGTGGAGGAAGTGACGGAAGATCTATCTTAAAGGCATTTTTTTCTCATTCGCGAAAACGTTTTTGAAAGTTTCCACACAAAATATTCATCGTCATTTTACGTGATATCATTTGCTTAGAAAATTTCCCATTGTCTTTCAGCCATTCACAATCCAGAATTACGATGTGTAATTTGCACTGGTGTTACACTTTTTGCACTGGTGTTACACTTGAACTGCACTGCTTTCAGCCAACCAGAACCAAGTAATTTTTTCATGTATATTGTTACACACATAACTGTAATTCTTAAATGTTAATAAGGAGGGGGCCATAAGTTGAAGTGTTACTCGGACTGTAAATGAAGTCTTTCCCTTCCTTTTCATTCCCTTCCTTTTCCTTTCCTTTCCCTTGTGATACCCAAGGTGTTTAAAAAAGGGAGTTGTGGACCTTGCACTTGAAGGTCACCAGGGAACAAAAAATAAAGGAGCGACTGGCATGATGTCCGAAGTGTGGAGGGATCAACAAGATTGGATGATCATATTATATTATGCTGTGCTTTGCTGCACTGCACTGCGCTGTGCTGTGCTGTGCCAGGCTGGGCTGCACTTCCCTGCACTGTGCTGTGGTGGAAGTGCTGTGATGTGCTTTGCTGTGTTGTATTATTTGATACTGGGGTATGTCAGATGTAATTCCTGAACGTACAGGAAATATGTTTATGTTCCTAGGGAAATTGATTTAATTTATATATGCATTTAGTATAAATCTACTAGCATTCTGTCATTAATGCTTTTCTCTTATTTACTATGCTACTCACTATCTATTCTGCTGACTAGATTGTGAGTAGCCTAGCAGTATCCGGTTCATAACAAAATGACAGCTGTTTCTCTGTCTTTTTGAAGTGTCTGTGAAGAGGATGTAGAAAACGTTTTTAATGACCAGATTTACACTGAAACAAACAGATTATTATTTTGCTCTCAATTTCTCTGTGTGTATTATAGTTGACTTTATAACTGCATCCTCATAAACTATCACATTGGGGTAGAAATCTCAAGCTCATATTCTTTTTTTAAATAGTATATTATAATTAACATGTATTTACCTAGACATATATTAATTAACTCCCATACTGGTTAAGAAAACAATTTAATATGGTACTGTAATCATTCATAATTATATTATTTACACAAAAACAAACATTATTTGCTCTCAATTTCTCTGTGCGTATTATAGTTGACTTTAATTGCACCCTTGTAAACTATCACATTGGGGTAGAAAGCTCAATCTCATATTCTTTTTTTATGTATTTACCTAGACATTATGAATTAATTAACGCCATACTGGGTGAGAAAACAATTTAATATAATGGTACTTTATTATATGACTCTGTCTCACTAGGACTGGGGACTACCAAATTCACAAGTTTGATTGGCTGAAATCGATATTGAAAGCAGTCTAGATTTTCCCATCTAGACCGGCATCTAGACCGGTGATGTTTTGCAGTGAAAAAGCTGCAAACTAAAATGCAAAATCATTAACTATTTTCATCTAGCAATATTTATTTGTGGAAGTGCCAACAAGCCTGATGAGAAAAAAAAGCAAAGAGGACAAGCAAACTTTGGCATAATTAAATTCAGCTCATGGCTGTTTGTAAGCAAAATGTCAGTTAGTACAAACCAGTTACATTAAAAGAATTAAATCGTTCTTGTTTGCCTTGTAATAAAAATCTTATTAACCAAGCTTAGTCAGTCTGTATGGGAAAATCTTGACTTCGGTCATGTGTACAGACCTCACTGCATTCGGTCTGAACTCACAACCTCAGTCAAGATTCTCAGATACAGACCTCCTGCTCGGTTAATAGGAGCTAAGTAATCATTCACAATTATATAACTGAATAGGAAATATTACTGTGTTTAACTTAATAATATCGGTTATGTTTGGTTCTTCCAAAAGGGAATTCTCTGGTTAATGACTTGTTGAAAAGACAAGAGAAGAAGACTACAGGGACTGTGAAGATACATTTATGAAGCAAAATTGCCCACTAATGCGTTTATCAAATAGAATTAAAGACAGTAGGTTAAATGACAAAAACGAGATAAAGATGGAGAAAGGAGGTACAGTTGGACCATCAGGTAGGCCAGATTGTTGAAAGAAAATATGTTAAAAATTCTCCTCGCCATTTCTTAAAGGACGTAATATTATCTCCTCAGAGCTTTATTATCTAGCTCTCTGCACGCACTGCAGGCCTATCATGAGGGAGCATCATAGGCCTGCAGTGCATGCAGAGAGCTAGATAATAAAGCTCTGAGGAGATAATATTATGGGACTATGTTCTAATATTCTTGTTTAACTAGCAAATTCCCTCTCATCGATATTTTTCAAAGATTTGATCTTTAAAGGAGACATCAGTAACAACAGCCAACTTTAATTATCATTCAATTCATTTTTTCCTTCCTTTTCATTGGCCGAGAGCCCACCACGTGACCTGCAAATAATGTAACTCCTACAAATAATAGTCTGCTCATGTGTAATACCGTCTAAATGTGTTTAGCTGCAAATAATGTTCTGCTCCTGAGTAATTGTAACCATGCTCTTATGTGAAAAATGGCACATTCCTTTCAAGCGATTTAAATATGAAAACAAACTTGGTGATCGATTGATAAAACAATTATTGAACTCAGTTGTTGCAAAATATCCTTATTTGTCAGTGTCTCGGCGAGACACTGACAATTCATGATATTTTGCTTAACCTCGTCCAGTAATTGTCAAATATTTTTATTAGTTTTTGATTTTATCTATGGAACTTTAGAATAAGATTTTAAAATACATTTTAAAAATGTAAAGGAGTAAGGATGTGTCTGTAGCTTAATAACTTAATTAATTCATTTACTCTTAGTTTAAATTTTAATGGTGAAGCTTAGTGGAACTGACTATATTATGTTTATAGTTTCTATGAAGTGTAATTTTAATTTCATTAGTTTTATGTTTTTTGTGNACACCAATCAAATTTAATCATGGCTTTTAAGAAAGAAAGCTGTTGTTAATAGTGTTATTATTGTGTCGTTCATATCGTTAATGCCCATACATATCCTGAAGAAAGTTCTAGATTAAGACCATTACGTCATCGGAGATTTGTCAACGCCTACCACTGATGGTGCAATAATACAGTTTGTGTTGATCAAGTGATGTGATGTCTACAGTAAGAAAAGAATCATCAATGACTGCTTTGGAATGTGCACTGCGTTCCGATGGTTGTGCTAAGCGAACCGTTTCATTTTTAAAGCGCGGTTATAAGATCTAACAGATCTTCTTGTTTTAGTTTTGTGGGTGACAAGACCCAGACTTCCACTCGGCCAAATTTTGAATCACGCAACCTGTGATGTTTATTTGTTAAAAGCTGTTAAAACATTAATACATGGACAATGTTATGGATGTTGTTTTCTATTATGTGTAAAATATATTTTCTTTTGGTTTTATCGAAGCATTGGATTCAAAGGGAATAATAAATACGGTAAAAAAAGGTGTTATGTCAGCCATGGAAGGCGCGGACGTTACAGCTTTCACTTTCTCTCTAAGATTGCGTTTACTTTACAAGTTTATTTTGCCAGAAGCGATGGTCATTAATTTATTTGCAAATATTTTGCGAGTATTTCTTGTGGTTTTAGGCAAATAAAGTGAATTCTTTCGCTGTTTCATCGCACCAAGTTTAGAGATCTGAAGGAAAATTAAATATTTACTGAGGTTAACAGGAGCTTGCCAGAACTTGCAGTGTTTATGTCAATGCTAGGGGAAAAAACACAACTGTTCTAAAATTAGCTGTGGATAGCGTAAACCTCGGATTGTGTGTGGAATGTGCACTGCCTTGCGACAGTCCCTGTAGTAGTACGAAAACAGTTAAATTCTAAAAGCATGGTTATAAGATCTAACAGATCTTCTTGTTTTATATGCAGTGAAAAGAATCATCAAATGAAAAACTTCTGTCGAAGCAATGTTGATTATGCATTGACTTTTTCTTCAAAACATTTGACTGCAAAGCAGTGAGTGCACACTTTTTGTTGGCAAATCTCACATTGGAGCTATACATACATTTATTTGGAGTCCACAAAAAAGTGGGTTGATTAGCTCAAAGAGTAGATCTTTCTCTCCCATGAGGCTATTTAGCCTTTTTCCCAATCCCACTTCCCAGAATACTTGTGCCTTAATAGTCAACCATCTTGAATAATTTAATAAGTGCTTCACATATTTGTGCAGAACTTTTCACAGTGTTTTATCGGCTGCCATCTCGAACTGATCAGGTGGTGCACTTGGCATTCTATAGCACTAGAAGCATTAGGAACTGGTAAAAAAATACAGGGGTGGTGGGCTGGAGCATCTTTGAAGTTGTAGTGGCTAGAAAACACATTCTCCATTCCTTCCATTTGGCACAAAACTGAGTGACCCACCCCTAAATGAAGGTTGAAAATCACATGACCCACACCCTATAAAACATGACATTTTTCTTTGCATAATCCGACAAAATCACATTTTGTGTGTGAAATTGTGACCAGTATTTTTTTAGGTTTAAGATTTATTTCTTAACAGTAATACAAAATCATCTGGAAGTAATATCGTTTTCCCTAACTCTGGCAACTTTATATCATGTCAACACTTGGCCTTCAGACTTGCTACCTGTGGAACAGTGATCTATCTACAAAAAGGCTGTGTGAGTTCAGGGACTCACACAGCCAGCAAACTACGAGTCCCAGGCCCAAGAGTGTGAGTCCCAGATCCATGAACATGTGTCCTGTACCCTTGGGGACAAATAGCATGTAGACACAGGTTGGCCATTTGGTGTTCTTGAAGACCAGCAGGTCAAAATAGTGCAGTAGTTTGAACATTTCTGCCCTGGGACTCCTTGCTCATTCTGTTAGACTTCTTAACTTCCTTACAGATTTTGCACTACATGAAATTGTCATCTGTATTGTACACCAGCCATGTGTGCATTTTCAACCACAGGTGGATTTTTCGTCCTTTGGAACTGGAAGGAGTTACCTCTGTTGTTGATTGTGTCAAATGTGTGCCAATTCGTGTTATAAAACAGGATGACTGGCCCCAAGGTAAACAGTGAGTTTTGTTTCCCCGAGACTCTTAATGTTCCCCAAGGCAAAGCCGAGGGGAACATTGAGGGTCGAGGGGAAACAAACTCACTGTTTCCCGAGGGGCCAGTCATTAAGTGTTTTGTTATACCTCCCGATTAAAAAACAGAGAAAAAACTGCGAAAAAGTGATTTGTATCAGAGCGGCAGTCAAGCTGAGCTGTTCTACCGAAACGACCGATGAGAGTCTTTTTCTTCGCAGCTAACAAAAATGAAGACAATACTTGAGTTGCTTTGCCTTCTTCTAATATGCTTAAATTGGGAATTCTGGGTTTGATTTGATGAGGAACAGCATATTTTGTTGTAAATGACACAACTATTTTCCTACCTGGCAAGTGGCGACAGCGATCAAAGAGCGAGTTGCCGAACGTGGGCGATCCATTTTTGGTGCCAAAGTAAAAGCTTGAAGACACAGAATGTTCCAATTGTCCCCTTTGTTAATCTGATATGTTTTTGTTGAATTATAAAATCCCTTTTTTGGAATAATGAATGCCTTCTCTAGTGAGAAACATTGCCCGACTTCAATGGCTTTTTTGACATGTAATGGCCAACTGGCACAAATTTGCCGCCGTTTCAAGGTGCACAACCTGATTACGTGTGAGTGGAAAGTTCAAGTTGTTGTTTCCCTATGGAGTTAGTGAGTTTTGTTCGCCCTAGGGAGTTAGTGAGTTTTGACCCATGGCACGTGACACGTTCTCCTCCAATCGGAAAACGTATTTGAATTGGGAGGTATAACATGATAAAGGAATGACCCACCCGTTACCTAGGGCTCACAAATTGATGACCCACCCCTTATCTGCTCTCGCCTACCCCCCCCCAATACTTTTTGACCATTCCCTTACATTTGTACTTTCCCTAGTAAAGTCAAATTCTGTCAGATTATTTTTGTCGAACAATAGCTGGTGAATGTTTCCCAAAGTTTTATAGCCCTCAATTTGAAGCAGAAAAACTTATGACAAAGTTGAAAAAATTTTCTCTAAGGTGAGTGCACCTCAGGAAAATAGAAATGGAACTGAGCTGAACTCTACTGTCCTGCAGTCACTAAGAATATAACAAATACCATCATTGTAAGTTAAGTTCCACAGCAGATAAATAAGAAATTATGAGTTTTGGACTGCTGAATTACTTCAGTCTGTGGCTCCCATCTCTCCTGTTCATTTTGGACTCTTGCATTTCCTCAGAAACTTTTTAAAGTCATCAAGAGTAGTAAGGATACACATGTATCTGTTAGAGATTCCTCTCTATAATCATACCACTGTACATGTAGTCCAGCTAACAGGTTTTTGTTTGCTCTGGAAAGATTTCATTCATCATTCCCATCAGATACTTATTATAATGAATGGCAAAACAAAAACAAAATCTTATGATAAAAAAATAGCGATAAAAAGGAACATTTCAACCTCTCCAAAGTCATTTTCAGAGTATTATTTTCAATGTTAAGAATTTGTTTTGTCTGCAATGGTTGTTTTTTTTTTACATAACACTTATTATTATATGCCAAACTGGTCCAAGGTGAAAAGGAGAATTCTGATTGGCTGGTTAGGAGTGGTCAGATTATATCTAAATTTTTGTATTATTTTTTATTTGATCAAAATGGCTGCCAAAGCCATGAACTGATCTTTCACTTTTGGAGTCAAACTTGTAACTGCTCCCAAATTAATGACTATTTAATTTTGGTATACAGGACCTAATTCATGACCTAATTTTCACCCATAGACTAATGATTCAGAAGCAAACTTACATTTCCTGAGAGGTCTGCTAAGGTGGTTGATGACAGTGCTCAAAATACAAAAGTGTTGGCTGAGTTGAACTTGTGTGCTATTGAAATAAGTAGTAAGTTTAAACAAAATATGTGATGTTAACTTCCTGTCTGTTCAATATCTGGACTATTTTAGCAGGCAGTTCTGGAGCCTCTGGTGGTGATGAGAGGGATTCCAACAGCAACCTCAGCTCTGGTACACTGTTTATTTAGTATGCAGTCTGAATTGTACAAATGTCAATGATTTGATTTGCCCTGGAAACAGTATAAACCCATGTGTAGTCATATTTGATTAAAGTTGTGATATAGTTTAAGATAATTTTTCAGAAAAACGAAGAGCCTGATGAAATCCCAGCGGGTTCAAAGATAAATGCAGGGGGTCCCATGTCCTGAATGAACCAAAGACCCTGTTATGAATGCAGCTGAGAGATTGCATTGATTCTATTTTCTTCTTTTTACGGTAGACTCAGAACTTTATTTGATTTAATTGAAAAAGAATTAGCCATTAAAATGCTCACCTATTAACCCTCCAACGTGCTAGGGAAGGGGGGTTGCCACCCCACCCATAAGGTTTTTTCAAAGTTTTGAAAAGACAATTTACTCTAAGGGGCTGAAACTTTCAGTAGCTGTTCATTCATCCCCTACAGAAATTTTGATATGACAATTGTGTGTCCATCATTTTTTATGCTGCCATGGCAACTGCAAATTTCACGTATGTTTACCAGTTTTCTTCATTAAAATCACAGCAATTCACGAGTTTGTATATTTCAGAAGCATTCTGGCTTAATTTTGGATTAATTTCTGTCATTTGATTGACTTTTTAAGATGATTTCCAAGGAACATTCGAGCAATAATGGCAAAATTAAGTTACCAAAAACACCTCATAGCATGGTAATATTTCGAACACAGTAAAGAAGAACTTATTGAGACTAAAGCTCTTAAGCTGACCCCGCGAGAGAGAATTAAACTTGAAGTTATCCATATTTCAATTAAAACAGACATTTCAAGTTAGTTAAAAACACAATTATTATAACACATGCTTTAAGAGGCTGTCTCTGTAAAAACCAACCACTAATTTTACTTCGAAAATTTGATTTTTCCCATAAGCTGGGATTTCGAAGCCCTTACCTAGTCAATCACTAAAATGAGTTTTATTTGATTAAAAATTCTAACTGAATTTTTCTAGGATTGATTGAAGTTCGGTCCGCTCGACACAAGTTGCATGCCTGCCGAAACTGGAAAAATAGCACATATTGCCGGCTCCCTAAAAAAATTAATATTCACTCAAAAGTCCCAATTCTTTTATTCAACTATAGATATATCATCATAGCAGTTTGTTGAGCCATGTTGCAATTATAATTCAATGTTGTTCCCTCAATGGTTAAAAGAAGATTTTCTACCCATTAAATCGAGTTTTAAACCAATTTCGAAAATAGCTCTACTTTGAAGGCACGTTTTAAAAATGTGGCACCTGTTTGAAACTGCTGAACTACATGAATAGAAAGTATAAATGGCCCTTAATTTAAAACAATAAAATTTGTCTGCCCACTAGGTTTTCAAAATTAACGACTGCTTAAAGTTCAGGAAAGTTTGAAAGTATTTCAGTGAGTAGCTAAGTAAACATACTTGCCCTCATAAAGTGCTCCGACAAATTCACGTAAATCTCTTACCTGGCTTCAAGATTAAAGTTTTGGTCCTTTGTAGCGATCGTTGAAACCTAGGTAGCATTAAAATTGTCAGCTTTTACTTCCAGCTGTAGGTTTGTATACAAGGTTCCTCATCTGTGTCGAGGGTGACGGTCACATACTTCGATGTCCTTTGATCCGAGAATCCAAGGAAGGATTGATAAATGCCACAGCCATTTTATTACAACGGGTGTTTTTAGTTACCAATCTTCCTGTGAGTACCACATCATTGATTCCCGTGATACTCACGGGGCGATTGGGAACTAAAACACCTGTTGTAAATAGAAAATGGAGGAGGGATTTATCAATCCTTTCTTGGATCCCCGGATCACCATTTACTGTTCATACATGTATGTGTGCCGAGAGTTGTCCAAAAGAGTGCTTCTACAAACCTTTCAAGAGGACTCGACATGATTAAACTGGCTTTGAGGAAAACAATGGTCAGTAATACAAGCGTGTAATACACGCTCGACACAGGTGAGGAATTTATAAATGTACCTTATATGCAAACCTACAGCTGGAAGGAAAAGCTGACAATTTTAATGCTACCTAGGTTTCAAGGATCGCTACGAAGGACCAAAACTTCAATCTTGAAGCCAGGTAAGAGATTTACGTGAATCTATCGAAGGACTTTACAAAGGCGAGTATGTTAGTTACCCACTGGAATATTTTCAAACTTTCCTGAACTTTAAGCGGTCGTTAGTTTTGAAAACCTAGTGGGCAGACAAATTTTCATTATTGCTTTAAATTAAGGGCCATTTATACTTTCTATTCATGTACTTCAGCAGTTTCAAACAGGTGCCTTCAAAGTAGAGCTATTTTTGCATTTGGTTCAAAACTCGATTTAATGGGTAGAAAATCTTCTTTTAACCGTTGAAGGAACAACATTGAATTATAATTGCAACATGGCTAAACAAACTGCTATGATACATCTATAGTCGAATAAAAGAATTAGAACTTTTGAGCCAATATTAATTTTTTAAGGGCGCCGGCAATATGTGCTATTTTTCCAGTTTCGCCAGGCATGCAACTTGTGTTGAGCAGACCGAACTTCAATCAATCCTAGAAAAATTCAATTAGAATTTTTAATCAAATAAAACTCATTTTAGTGATTGACTAGGTAAGGGCTTCGAAGTCCCAGCTTATGGGAAAAATCTAATTTTCGAAGTAAAATAAGTGGTCGGTTTTTACAGAGACAGCCTCTCAAGCATTTTTATGAGGTTTGACATTAACTTTCTCGAGAATGCTTGAGAATTTTTAAATCATGGGGTCACTTAGAGAAATTAATTGAAGTGAGTTGTTTTCAATAGTATTCCAAAAGTTACCTTGCTATGAGCAGATTTTTAGTAAATAATTTTTGCTCTTATTCCTCTCACTTTGAGCGGACATAGTGAAATCCAAGATGGTGGATCCAGGTTGGCGGGTCAAATGATGTCATATGATGCCATAATCAACAAACATGATATCATCTACAGAGCAAGCTCAGGGCTATCTAATCGATGTAAATTTATTTCACTGTGCCTAAACAGAACAAAAACCCAGGAGAGGGCTTCCATCCTGCCCCCCCCCCCTCCACACACACAAACACCTTGTACCATGGCGGGGGGTATGAGTTAGCTTGTACGTCCAAAGGTTAAATGAGTCTTATCCCAATGACACTCTTGATTTAACACTACTATAACTTACTACTTAAACTATCTGAAAAATATGAATTCCTATTTAGATACTACTTTGACTGTCATTTTTTTATACGTAAAATATTTTTTTCACATTTCTCTTTTTAGGACATGCTAAAAGAGATGCCAGTGGTGATGAGAAGGCATCTGAGTTGGCCAGACTTTTAGCAGAGTTTAAGCTAGATAATCAGCTTTTGCTTGAACAAAAACCATTAAGAGGGAGCAGCAATTCTTCACACGGGAATTCAGTTGATGAATTATCCCCAAAAAGGGAGTTTGAAAGGCGAAGAGCCAGCCTTCCCTCCAACTCTCCACAAGAACAACATCCTGGAACTTTGCGGCATCAAACAAGCGAGCCTCTTCTACATCAAATGAATCAAAATAGGGAACTAAAATTAAGTAAGTTACTTATAGTTGGAAATGGGGCCTTTTCAAATTTGGTGTTGTTTCTGAACTTACTTAGTACTGTGCCCTTGGTTGAAATAGTTCAGTTCCGTTAAAACTAAGCCCCATCCAATTGGCTGTTAACTATATGATAAACATCGCATGAGCAAGTTAATAACCAAAACTCTTGAAACTAAATGAGTTTGTTAAATTTGGGGCTGTATTACATCATCATGAATATTTTTACCCTTTATGTCATCAACTGCATTGCAAAGTTGAGGTTGGGTGTCTCTGAAATCCTGGAATAACCTGCTGGGTACAGAGTGGTTTGCCTGATGATGAGAATAGAAAGATGGCCAGAGGTAGTGAATGAAAAGAGGCTCTTAGGAAGGTTCCATTGAATCAATGTTAATAAAATGTTAATAAATTTGTTTGAATTACTAAGCATGTGTGGAAAACGACTGAAAAAAACGTCAGTCGAGCCGTTTTCAAGGTTGTGGAAAAATTGCTCAAAATCTTTAAAACAAGTATTTTCAGTTTCTAATTGCCAAAAAGTAAACCGAAAAACTTTTATGGCATCAAAACATAGCGTAAAGACACATGTCAAATTAATTTCATCAATATAGTGGAAAACTTATAGTTTAAAATATTTTTGTGCTATACTTGAAATCAATCGCACAGAATATTTTTTATGCTGGAATATTGCACTTTTAATAAACCAAAGTTTAATATTGGCACTAAACCCTTTTATAGCAAATCTGGTTTGCACAAAATTTAAGTTTCACTGATTTTGAGTTTTTTGCTTCAGTTGTCTGTCAGGGGCAAAATTCAGGGAACCCAGCCCAACGTTATCACATGCAGTACACCAAACTTCAATCTATTTCCAGGAACATGACTAGCATTATAATTTGGACTGATAATATTTATTGGTATGGCCTACAAAAACTTTGAGACACCTTACTTTTTTAAAAAACTACTTGGTGCACTTAGGTTATATAAATGACTCTCAAAAGTAGCTTTATTTTTGTATCATTTTGTTGCTCATTGAAAGAAATTAATGAAGACCCTCCCTTAATTGGCAGACGATCCACTGACGACATCTGTGCTGAATAATCTGGAGCTTCTGGAAGGACTGGGAAACTGTTTGGACAAACAGTATAAGTGCGGTGAAATAAAATGTTGGAAACATCTTTGCGAACATTTTGGAGTGGAAGCAAAAACCTATGAAGACTTCACTCGCAGTCAAGAACGCAGTCCCACAGAAGATTTATTTGACTTTCTAAAGACACAGGAACCTAAGGAATTCACTATCGGCAAGTTGAAGGATAAGCTGAGTTCCATTGAAAGGCAAGACGTGCAGGGTATTCTTTTGGAGTTCGGTGAGTACATTAAATTAATTAAAGATTACTGTAAAAGCTAATGAAATGATTTGACCATAATGTATTGTGGGATTATGCAATTAGTACATAATCACATGTAGTCGGCGTCTATCTTGAGGGTTTGAGGACGTGATGAAACCTGAGAATCTCTCCCCCAATGAGAATTAATAGTTAAAGAAGATAATGAAAACTCGAAACGTAATCGGAGCGTCACATTTACAAAACGGCTGACAAAATGATATTTGAAATGTGAACCGCCTTCGCTTCTATTTAATTCCCTTCTAAACGGCTCAAAACGACTCAGGAACACAGGTAAATAACAGTACATTTATTTTACATGAATGTAAATGATTATGTTATTGCTGATACTGTATTCGGGCCCCCTGTGTTTTTGGGCGAGCGGGAAGATTTTCATGAAAGCAGATCGAATGGGAGCTTTAAAATTGCCTACGTGGCAAAATTTAAGCTAGTTCTTTTGTTTGCTACTGTTGGACATCTATTACTATCAATCTGGAGAGTGCAGTGTAGTGTCGCACTTTCCTCGCACCTGACACTTATTGACTGGCAAGGTGAATTTATGCTCTTTAACCATGGTTGATGCACGATATTCCAAGAGGGGAACGCCCGAAATGGTCTGCCAGACCACAGATCAGACTTCCGTCGATATTCAACTTACAAATAAGTGCTGGGAAAAAGCCATCCTATGCCCGCCATGCTACGCCCAACTAAACAGGCAACAGTAAACAAGGTGAATTGCCACACTGGCCGAACTGAATGTTCAGGTAACAGGAGAAGCACGCTGAATCGCCACGCTATGCCTGAACTGAACAGGCGAATAAACGCAGGAAAATGCCAAGCAAGCCATGTTACGCCCCAACTGAACAGGCAACAGTAAACATGCTGATCCGCCACGCTACACCTCAGCTAAACTTGGCAGCCATATAGAACCTGCTGAAAAACGCCACCCTATGCCTAAACTAAACAGGCAACAGTAATCAAGTAGCAATACCATGTAGTGCCTAAACTAAACAGGCAATAGTTATCTTGCTGAAATGCCATGCTGCACCTAAGCTGAACAGGCAAACAATTACGCCACGTAAAACCTAAGTTAAACGGGCATCAATAATCATGCAGAAAATCCTCGCCAAGCGTAAACTAAACTGGCAACAGGACGGTAATCAAATAGCATTGTTATACCTCCCAACTCAAAACGGCTCTCAACTCATTATTACTCCCAACTTACCTCCCAACTTATCGGCTATCGGATGCTGCAACACGAGCAAAATGGCTACACAGTCTTATTCACAAGGCATCAATCAACAAAAGGGTTTCAGGATTTTGCGATATTTTGATTGGTTGTCTAGATATTCGCATCTTAAGTTGGAATAGCTAAAAATATGAAATTCGAGATGTGTTGCGTAAATGGACACCACGGGAAAAAATTATGTTAAATATTAAAATTTCCCGGCAAGCTTTCGTTTATCATTACCCCTGGAATGTTTTGGCAAAATTTCACGAAAATCCATCAAATTTGCATACCCTGTAAGTTCACTCAAAGTGGATATATTCCTCCCAGAATCAAATGCGATATTTTAGCGGCCGTTGATAAAACCAGGAACATGGAACATTTCAAAACATAATAATTTTGAGAAAAATATATAAATTTAAATAAAGGAATAACCTAGAAAGACAAATAAGTAAAAACAAAATAAGTAAGAAAAATTAACTGGTTTCAGCTCTGAATATGCAAAAATAAAATTAAAAAATTTAAAAATGCGAATGACAGCAATGAGTGAAGCCTCGCAACCGTAGTGATGTCGGAAGGCAATGCACAAGCTATATATTCCCACTAATCTATTCCTGGCGCCAGTTCGCTAGTTTAATCACGGGACGATCCCTTATTTTACAATGTGGTTGAAGAGGTCAATTAACACCATATTGTTTTGTTCATGGCGAGCGAAAAACCGGGGAGGGTACCTGTCCCCTGAGTAGGGGTTGCTGTACTCTTCGCATATTTCTTTCATTCCTAGAAAAGCAAGATAGTGGCGTTCAAACTCTTCAAGTAGACCGAAAAATACAGCATTATGAACAGTCTACATAAGTTTCTGATTTCTTTATTCAATTCATTGCGTCAAAGACAAGCGTATGCACGAGTTCCCGTGGTTTTACACAGCTAATCATGAAAATTACAATTTCCTCGATTGTGATTGGTTTAAAAAACTACTATTTTCCACTAATTCACTTGCCAAGCTGTTATCGGACAGTTCAATAAGCCAATCACATTCAAAGTTGTAGTTTAAATCAACCAATCACAATTAAAGTTGTAGTTACGTGCGTGCGTGCGCACGCTTGCTTTTGTGTTGTTGACGCCTAATTGCCGGTAGGAGGCGCGGTGGCCTTAGACTGTTTGCATCTCCTTTGTAGGTATTTTAATGCAAATTTTCCCTTTCTTTCATAACTTGGCTATTCTTCTTTTCTCGGAAATTGTAATTTTTATGATTAATTGGTAATAAGACTTGGTGTCGTCCAATTCGGTCTGTAATCATATTCGTGATAAACAAATCGGACTCCCGCTGCGCGGTCGTCCGATTTTGTTATCACTCTTATGATGACAGACCGAATGGGTCTCCACTCAATACTATTACCATTACATATAGTTTCTTGTCTAAACTAATTCGAAGTACATGAGTGCCGATGATTCATTGACTTGCCAGACGGAACTTACTTGTTATACAACAGCTCTACACCGTAACTTTAATTGCATCGCAAACCTTCCGCAGATGGCCTTCGATAATACAAGGAACATGGCTCGACTTTAAGCACATATCTTTTCCTTAATTTATTGTAAGTTACTGTAATTTTCTTTGTCAATGTGTATTAAGTGTTTAGAGTAAAGAAAGTGTTGTTGTTGTCGGAACATCCCGGAATATTCCGGAACATCAAAAAAATTATAATAATTATGAGAAAAATATATGGAATTAAATTAAAGGAATAACCAAAAAAGAGAAATTAGTAATAAAAAAAAAAAGATGGTTTTGTTTTAGCTCCCAACATGCAAAAAAAAAAAGAAAAAAAAAATCAAGAAAAGTAATGACTGCAATGAGTGAAGGCTCGCAACTTTAACCTTTTAACCATTCTGAAGGAAATGTACAAGCTATCCCCACTAATCCATTCCTTCCAGTTGTTCGTCATCAGTTTAATCACGTGACGGTCCCTTATTTTTCCGTGTGGTTGAAGAGGTCGATTACCACCATGTTGTTTAATTGTTGTTTTTTTTCATGGCGAGCGACAACTGGGGAGAGTACCTCTCCCGGGGTAGGGGCTTGCTGGTGGCGTCCGAACTCTTCAATCAGATCAAAAAATGTGGGACTTTAGACAGTCTACGTAATGTACTTATCAAAGTCAAGCTTGAGGGGTGGGGGCGGTGCGGGCTACCCACGGGAATTTGATTATTAAAATTTTAATCGTCTGCGATGTCCGCGGGATAGGCAATATGACACGGTCGCCATATTGAAGGACCAAGAGAGTCTGGTAATGAGCCATCTGCCATCTTGTAAATATCCTGAAGTTACTGGGAGTTAGTGGTCTTTGCCCGGATCAGAAGTCAAAGAAGATTAAATGAATCTGTTTTCGCCTGGAGCCATAATCGGGGACGGAGACCTTAAGTCTTGGGATCCGCGCGCACCTATGACATGGGACAATTTTGCTATTTTTAGAACAGATTGCGCCGTCCTGACGTCATATATCCGCACAGATCCACGGACATGTCGGGGGCTCTCGCGTGGACGTTGTCACGTTGCGTGATGAAATGGTAAGAGTTGCGAGTTTCTCTTGCAGATTTTTCACGGTGATGGCAGGGAATAAGGTAGGGAATAAGAACCAGGGCTCTTATATGTAGTTTTATGCCCTGAGCTAATGGGAAAGGTGAGTTTTTCAAGGTCGAAAACATGACTTCAATTTCGCGCTGTGAATGATTAATATCTGCTCGCACTAGTTGTACGCGTAAGATTTTGCGTTTGTTTTGTAAAGGAAAGTTATGTAAGAAAACTCTTTACTCTGGTATCAAGTTAATTTGTGAGTTTCCCAAACAATGCTTAATCATAACCAAACCCTGTTTTTTCATAGTTTCTTATTGTTTCTGTTTGTTTGGCGAGTTTGCAAAAGTTTTGGAAAGGAAAGTCTGACGTGTACAGTAAGTAGCTCATTTGCATAGTGCAGTGCGTGCACTTTCAAATCCGAGTCGGTGTTTTCAATTGTCAACAAATCTTGACAAAGATTTCTTTCGTTGTCTTTGTGCCGAGATCCTGCAACAATTTTCACCAACGCCAAAAGGCTACTAACATCATGTGTGTTTCTTTAACATAGTGAAATTTTACACTGCCAAAATAAAATAGACAAGGAGTTTTGATAACTCAACCAACAAAATCGAAATCGTTATTTGAGTTGATTAAAGAAAGCGTCATCGTAATTTTGATGATTATTTATGCTGTATTCACATATTTTTAGCTAAGCTTTTAATATGTTCTCAACTATTTATCAACCGTAAACATATTTAAAAACTAGAGATATTATATGAGTTCGATGTACGTCTTCACACGAAAGCATGAGAAGACGCACACAGCTTGTACTGTAAGTATCCCGGAGAGCTCCATACAATTCCTTATACTTTTAGTACAAGAAATTGTTGAGNATTTACCAATTATAACGTAAAACTTGTTCCTGGGCTCGATGTTCGTGAAAGGTTAGTCCGATTCGTGAGAGAGGAACTCTTAAGTGAAGCGGGCGAGGATGGTCGTCTTTTCTTTCGAGAGTATAAACTTCGGTTTTTGGTTTCACTTAGGATATTCACGTGGAACGCTAATGTTTCCACCCTTTAAGATATCTGAGGACTACAGACGAAGAAATTAAAAACTCCGCCCTACATGATGGTTTAAATCGATGAGACATGAAATGTTGATAGGCAATAATTTTGTCCTTACAAAGTCGTGATTTTGGTCTTGACTCTAGAGTATATCTTTCTTTTTTGAGCAGATGATGAGACTCAAGTGGGCAGCCTGTTTGACAGTCATCCACAAGTTATTGCAAACATGGCTTTTTTGCTGGACAAAGAGGAGAAGCCAGGTAAACGGAACTGGAAGCATTTAGCTGATATGTATGGCGTGCCACGAAGTGAATCGGAGAGTTTTGGAGAATCTATGGATGAAAACCCAACAGAACGGTTGTTTGAGTACCTCCGCGTCAAAAAACCTCGTTTAACCACCGGGGAGGTAAAAAGACATCTGAAAATTCTCAAAATGCAAGATGTGCTGGATGTGTTAGCAGAAAGCAAGAAAGGTTTGGTTTTCGTGTTATTTAGGCTTTGCTAGTTTTTCAGCATGCCTCTGTAAATATTTAGAAATGTTGCGTGAGGTATTAAATTTATTCTTTTTACTATTAATTTAAGTGTCTCTCTCCACCCAGGTGTGTAATGGGTACCAGCGAATTTAATGCTGGGGGTAACTCTACAATGGACTATAGCATCCCATACAGGGGAGAGTAGAAATACTCCTAGTCGTTAAATGGTACTTAAACATGTAAGACAAGCTCTGGCCTGATAAGCCACTAGGCTCCACGCAGACTACCATTACCTACCCTGGAAAAGTCCCGGATATTCCATCATCCCTGAGTAGTACGAACCCTGATTTATTACAGGGGAGCTTAAGCAATGACGACGATGACACCTAGTAAAAACTCTAGGTCTGTTCAGTACGCTTATGGGTCTAAAAACTTGCTTAGGCTAAATATTTAGCCAAAGCCAACCCGCTTTTGAGATAGTTGGTATTTGATGGCGGTTATTGGAAATATTTTCATCGGAAAAACACAGAGGTAACCGAATCAAGTGAAAAATAACATTCTGTGTATCACTTAGAGAGACGGAAACCGTTGCAACGAAACTCGCTGGAGACACTCGAAAAGTAATCTGACCCAAGACGTAAACTCGAACAATACACTAGGGCATCAAGTTGAGGCGTTTTTAAAAAATAATTTTCCTGTTTACTTGTCGTTGTAATTGTCTCTACAGTGAAAGACAACTCTCCACTGAAAGCCTTATGGGAGGATCTAGAGATAGCAGCACGTGTCTGCAACCTTCTAAATAAGAAGCATACCAGTAGGATACGTTGCTGGAGGCATTTGGGAAACAAACTTGGCGTCAGAAAGGATACGTTGGATACGTTTTCAAACGAAGGAGAAATGATAAGCCCTACGGAAGTCCTTATCCGTCATCTGGGTGCTGCTAGACCCAGTTTGGTCATGGCTGACTTAATTTGGGCCCTGGAGAGAATTGGGAGAACTGATACTTTTTCTGTAGTCGAGGTTTACTTTCCAGGTTAGTAAACAAAGTGTTACAAAATGAATGCTTGTTAGTTTGGTGTTTCTCAAGACGCACTTGAACGATTGTGCTGAAAGGTATATATCGTTCACATTGTGAATTAAGTAACTCACATGTAGCTTAATCGTGCTTCTCATCCCTTGCTTGATCTAAATATCGAGACCACGACCGAGATTGCTTTGTCCAGTTCATTAAGGCTGGTTCTCACTAGCGCCCAAGCATAAGCAACATACGCAGGTGCACAAGGTATCCGCTGACCGGTATCACGTGACGCAGTCCAATTAATTAGGTAAATACTTGTCTTTGATAAAAGCGAGCTCCACAGTAATGTGCTGTTATTTTTTTTCGCGCGAATGATGTAAACACGTCACTTGATAAGCTAAAGCTGGGAAATGTCTGATGATGTCTTAACATGACGTTCCTCGGTTTTCTAAATTTGCGTTTTTATGTTCTCGCGTTCAGTTTTCAGGGCAATTAAATTGTTACATTTGAAGAAAGTCTTGCCAATTTACCTTTGAACGCTGACAGAATTGTTGGAAGGGTAACAGCTTCTATTGGAAAAGTCTTTGAAGGACAATGAACACAACTTCCATTCAGCTCAAAAGATAATATGAAGGGATATTTGTCCTTGGATATTGTCTGTTCCTCAAAGCTCTCTCGGAGAACTCTTCTGTTCTTGCAGCAGATAAAATAAATAACTTTGTTATTTTACCAAGCTTCTAGACAGCCTACAAGGCTTACTAATCGGGAACATGCACTAGATTGAATTGGAACTTGAAGTGTTGTCTGGGGGGGCGGAACCTTTAGAGCAAGGACAGGAACCAACAACAAAGTCCACCCAAATATGACGCTGGGTTAATGAATCGGATCGGAACCACATTAGTGGGAGGCCAGCATTCTCATCACTGCGACTCTTGTTTTACCCTAGTAATGACTTATTCTATACGTCATTACATACATACATTACTTTATTTACCCTCGGATTTCAGAGTAGCTTATGCAGCTAATATCTCCGAGCATTTAACCATCAGATGAGAGATAGCAAACTGGTCTAAGTTGAAAACTAATTCGAATTTTTGCAATTT